AATGTAAATATTGTCTCATCCATTATGAGGGCATGGTATATCTATAAGAACAGTAATGTTAAATGAGCAAATTAAACAAGACACAAGCAGTGCTAACTTGATCACTTTTTGCTAAGATTTATAAAACCACAAATAGGAACTCTGAATTATGGCAGAGTGAGATGGTTCAAGTTAGCCATAAATTGTGTCTTGTCTCATTTAACTATTTAAATATTTAACCTTTTCTGAATATAAAGTAACTAGTTGTTTGTTTGTTTGTTTTTCTGATGTTTCAAATTACAAGTTTAGATTATTAAAATTACCCAGTAGTTTAATTTGTCTTTTCTTGTATGTGAAATGTTTTGGTTTAGATCTTTTTTTTTTGCACGGTATGTCTTAGGTGATTAGTAATGGGATATAGGGCTAGACTCGCAAAGGAGATAGGCACCTGCCACTTTAGGCAAGTAAATCCCAGAATCAGGCACCACTGATATACACAAATACCTGCTCAGCTGCTGCTGAATCCTGCAGGAACCTAAATTTTTGCAGTAAAAAAGTTTCCCAGTTGCCTATGTTCCTCCCTCTGGGCATACACAGTGCTGCTTCAGTCTAGATATCCAGACAGCTAAGGCCAAGTGTGATGCAAGAACCAGGGGAAGATAGCATTCCTCTGCTCAACTCGCCTGTGGGGCTCAGTCCAGTAGCTAAGCTCTAATCAAGCTTATTGGATTGGGCCCTGCACACAAATGGTTGGGGGTTTGAGGGGAGAAGGACCTCCCACATAACTTTTAGCCCAGTGGTTAGGGCACTCAGCTGGGATGTGACAGACTCCTGGTTAAGTCCCCCCTTTGCCTGAAGGGGAGAAGGGATTTGTTACTTCTCAGGTGAGTGCCCTAACCACTGGGCCATGGGATATTCTGATATGGGGCTCCCTCAATATCTCCTGTTGAAACTGTTCTACTGTGTATACATATTTAAAGAGTCATTGGGGGGAGAGAGAGACAAACAAACAGACAAACAAACATGAGAATGGCCCTCACCCAGGATGTAGGAGACCCAGGTTCCAACCCCCTAATGATTCTCATTATTTATCCACAGTGGAGCAGATTCACCAGGAGAGATTGAAGGAACTCAGTGGTTAGAGCATTCACCTCAGAGATGGCAGATTCCTGTTCAAATCCCTTCTTCTCAGGCAGAGGAGAGACTGGATCCAGGGGTCTCCCACATCTCCTGTGAGTGCCCTGATTGCTGGGCTAAAAGTTATGACTGAGCTCCTCCGTACCTCCCTCCCTCCCCAGCCCCAGCAGCATCTGACTTCAGGAGAGAGTTCACAGCTGAGAATTCCAAGCAGTAGGCACCAAACTCCCTGAGATGGGTGTGGCTGAGGGCAAACCCCTCTGCTTAGCATCTCCCATTAGTTAGTTTAGATGGCTCTCCATCTAGCATGCTGGTTTTTGTGAATCCCTCCCTTCCATTGTATGGGCAGCCTGAGTACCTAACTCAGTCTTTGTGACCCACAGTGATATTCTAGGGGCCTAAGTCCCTTTGACAATCTAGCCCATACAGTCATCTGTTCCAAAATCACCAGTCAGATTCTAGCCCCAGGTCAATAGTGGCTGAAAGACAATTCTATCTAATAGCTATTTGATAGCCTATAGGAAATAAATTGTTAGTCTTAGTAGAATTCCTAGCGTACAAGTGTCCACATCACAAAAAACACCATCACAATTGATGCTAACTGGCACCTTTCATGGCAATCTTAGAAGAAAGGCCAAAAGTGTGAGTTTGCCTTGCTGTCCTCTATTTATGTCTGTAAATGAACAGAGGACATCAATCTCCTGTACTCTCAAAGTGGTAACTTTCATGAGCACTAAAGTCACTTAAAAAGGAAAAGTGCTAACAATTAATTTTTAATTAAATTGATGGAAAAAGTTGAAAAAATAGAATAAAAAATATAAATTTAAAAGGGCTTACACGCAATACATTCTAAATATTTGGCAGGCACTTTATCCATGGGGCCACACAGTCTGACCAATATCTATAAAATTGACAGATATTATTTTCGCCACAAGAGGGCTCTCATATTTTACATTTATATGCAGTAGAAACATGAGAATAATAAAAAAAATATAATTTATAAAAATAACTTAAATGCAAACTCAAGCTTGTGTGCTCTTCAGGTAGTCACTACAGCTGGTCGGAAATTTCATAATGAATCTGTTTTTTTCAAAAACTGACAGTTTGTCAAAATTGAAACTATCAGTTTTGACTTAAAAAAATATCAAGAAAAAAGTTCCTAAACTGTCAAAATGAAAAAATCTGGTTTCTGGTTCTAAACAAACTTTTTGTTTTGAAATTTAAGCTAATTAAACCGAATAAAAGTTTTTCAAATAAGTCAAAATCAAAATGAAAAGTTCTGAAATTATTGAAATGAAAGGTTTTAACTACCCTCCCACCCCCACAAAAGAATTGGTTTTCTATTTCACATGTATTTTCAAGATTTCAAATTTTGATCCAGATTCAAGGTGGGAAAAACTTTGAACTCTTGAAAATATTAATGTGATGGGTAAACCATTTCCTGCCATACTCTAGTAGTCAAATTTTCATGGAAAAAACCCCAGTTTATTATGCACAGTGCTTCCATAATATATTGGAAAAAAATCAGGAAAAACAAGAATTTTTCTGTATTCTGGTTACATACCTCTCTGTAAACAGAATATCTGTCAAAATTAATCTATTTTTATGGTGTTACCGTGATTAGATATGTACAAAACCACACATTCACCTCTAACTTTAGCAGGCTCAACTTTTAAAAGCACTTAGTGTTACTATTAAGAGAATACATTACATTTTTCATCAAGTTAGATCTCCTATAGTTTATAATGATGCTCGTACTTTTTTTCTAATATGGTTCATATATTACAGTAATGGGGGGCCATATAAGTAGCTAAGCTCACGAAAGCTTATGCTCAAATAAACTGGTTAGTCTCTAAGGTGCCACAAGTACTCCTTTTCTTTTTGTGAATACAAACTAACACGGCTGTTACTCTGAAACATATAATTGTGACTGCCACTCATTGGAGCAATGAAATGCAATGCAAGAAGTCTTCCCAAACATGTTTAGTCAGGTTTGGTTTTTTGTGCGTCTTTATCTGATGATACTATCAGATGTGCGTAGAAGGATAACCACCCACACCTTACGCTAGGCAACTCTGTACACTTCACTACATGGCAGCACCAGAAGGTCCAGTATGGAGGATACTAACATGAGACTTTTGCAGTTGCAGAGGTGGCAGAGTGAAGGGAAGAGAGAAGCTTCGAGAAGACGGGTAGAACAGAGGAGAAGATTGGCTGAGGGAAAGAGATGCAGAAGGACTGGGAAGGAGTAAAAGGATCAAAAGGAAAAGACAAGGAAAAAAGAGGAAGAATATGATCCTTGAAGGAGAGAGAAAAAGTAGTGAAGGATAATGATCTAAGAGGACTGAAGGGAGATGAGAATGAAGGAAGAAAACTGGAAAAGAAGAACAGTAGAGAGGGGAGAGAAAAGAAACAGAAAAAGGAGAAAAGGAGTACTTGTGGCACCTTAGAGACTAACCAATTTATTTGAGCATAAGCTTTCGTGAGCTACAGCTCACTTCATCGGATGCATATTGTGGAAACTGCAGAAGACATTATATACACAGAGACCATGAAACAATACCTCCTCATGGTCTTCTGCAGTTTCCACAGTATGCATCCGATGAAGTGAGCTGTAGCTCAAGAAAGCTTATGCTCAAATAAATTGGTTAGTCTCTAAGGTGCCACAAGTACTCCTTTTCTTTTTGCGAATACAGACTAACACGGCTGTTACTCTGAGAAAAAGGAGAAAAATATGAATAATATAGGGGCTTATTGTAGCATGATATAAAAGGACTTTAACAAAAAAACACTCACCAACCCTCTGTGTAAAGGAGTTTGGATCAGAGGATCAATGTGCTGAAGTGAATGGCATGTGAACATAGGAAGAATTCTTAAAATAGTGTATACTCAAATTTGCTACTGACAAAATAATGATAATCTTTACATGCAATTTTAAAATTACTTCTGTGACATGCATAATGAATTTATTATATAATATTCTGTTTATACGTAATCTTATGAATACTGGAAACATGAAAAAATAGTAGTTTCCGTCAGTGAAAAAAACAAACAGCATTAGTTAATATGGGTATGATTACTAGGCACACTCACTTAATTGGGATGAACAGCCACCAGTTTCATGTGATGTATTTAATAGGCTTAAAACAAATCGGAATTCTTGAGTTCATTCTGAGATCCTCTGCCAGATAACAGATAGGTGGTAAACTGGTAAATATCTACTTTTGAACGATTATTTTCAATTACACCACAGTGACTACACATACACAGCATCTAGTGTATTCATTATGCATATCATAGAGGTATATTTTTCAAAACTGTACATTAAAAGCATGACCCTCAGTTGTGTCATTAAGAGATTTGTGTGTGAATCATTTTGAATTTTTTCTCCATATTATATGCTATTCGCTTTCTTTACACTGGTATCATTTCACTGGGACATTTAAAATTCAGCAGCATTTATTTATACTTAGAATAGAAAATAACATTTTTAATAAAGTAGTGGGGGAACCGGTGGTAAATGTTGGGATTTTAATGGCAACAACTTTAAAGATAGAAAAAAAGATATATTATTACATTTTCAAGGTTCTTTCCACAGTCTTGATAAATGTTAAACTAATCATAAAATTGTGCCTGCCTCTGAAGAGTGTATTAGTACTACAACCAGATCAACAGTATACTATCCAACCAATGACTCATTTCTTATGATCAGATTCTGCTCATTTCATACTACACCAAGCTAGGGAAATGTTTGAGTCATTGCACTATGTAGTAATATTGTATCTAGAAAATATCTATACCCTTAATATTTCCTTATATAGTTTGCAAAATTATAGACATGATTTATTTCTATGAATATGGTCAATATTATACTACCACTATACCTTTTCTTTAGAATTTGGAATTTCTTTGCCCAGCTTCGGTTAATTTGTTCAACTTCGTTTTTAAGACTGAAATAAAAAAACCCACAAAATGTTAAAATATTTATAGAGTTAAATGAATGTCTTAAAAATTCTGGCCGATACCTTTGTATGTGTTGCTTCTCTTGACCTTCCAATACCTTCAGCTTCTCAATTTCAGCAAGTAATGCTCTTTTTTCTGCTTCCTTCTCAGGTGCAAAATATATTGCAAAAAGTTAAGTAATGTATTATTTATTTTCTATGCTTAATGTACAAAAAAATACAAAGTTTTACTGTTGGTATTGACACTTCTAGTTTTGGCTGTTACGGTATGGAAACTAGGTGTTTAAAGGAATTAATAACCATAGTACAAAACTTTCTAACTCTAGTCATTGTTTCAAAGCCAATCCAGGTCTGGAGTGACTGAGAATAATTACAATTTCACAGCTTTTTGGAGGGCTATCTAATAAAGATGGCAGCACAGACAAGTAAAGCATAACTTTTGTCATGCATATCATATTTGTCTAAGGCCAATCCTACTGATATCAATGGCAAAATTTCTATTGCCTTGAATGGAAGCAGGATCAAGACCTTTGATTATAAATTCTTATGGGCAAGGACCATCCATGCCTTTTGGCAGAGAGCATACAGTCTAGTGATTAGAACATAGAACTGAATTCATGGTTCTCAGCTCTGTTACTGATTCTTTGTGTAACTTGGACCTTAGCCCTTCTGTGCCTCATTTTTTCCATCTGTAGTACAAATATAATCATACTTCTCTCACAGGAGATTAATGAATGTCTGTAAAGTGGTGCAAAATCCTTGAATGAAAGTCACTATAGAAATGAAAATTATTATTTTTACCATAGTAACTAAAAGTTTAACAAGCAATGGTTCTGAATAGTCCATAGACTGGTATCAAAGGACAAGAAATCTACATAAAATATTTACAGAGAACTTGTTGGATTTTAATAATAAAAACAACACCTTGTAACTAGGACTCTTCTTCTGTTGCTGCTTGTGATATCCCTTTTGTGATTCTCTGCTCTCATAAGGCACTGTAATTTCACTTCCACTTTTCACTTTCTCCTTCATTTTTTTTGTATCTTTTTCTTGCAATGATGGAATCTGACAATCAAAGAATCAGTGGTGATTATGTACACTAGGAAAAACAGTTTTACTCTTATGGTCATTTTAATCCATAGGAGTTAAGAAAACAAGTTAGGAAAATGACATTGTAGCATAATAATTACTTCAGCTACTGTACTTCAAATAAGGACAATACCACCGGGTGTTTCAAAATAATAAAATATGCCCAAATTAAGTTACCTCAGTGATTCCACTCTCACACACACTTAGCAAAATTTCATATTTATTAGTATTATATCTGCAAATTAAACATTTTACTAAGTGTAAATCTGGCAAAACAAAGGCGATATTGTTTTAAAAAAATTCTAAGGGGCTAAATTCATCCCTGTTATATCTCTATTGAAGTCTACACTAGAGATGAATCTGGTCCACTGACTATATTATCTGTCCTATTTCAACTGAACTTTCAACTTTGCTGAAGCATATTGTATTGAATGCTGGCCCTCTCCACTTAAAGCCAGCCATTTGTTTTTTCAGCTGCTGACACATTCCACTTTCTCTGGAGGACACATGCTGATCTCTATGTGGCCAGTTCACTGATAGGGGAAAACACCAGACAGTTAAAGGATAGTTGGAGGTGAAGATACATTGCCGTATCAGACCTTTTTAAATAAAGACAAGCAGTTTAATCCACATCCTGTGAAAACTGCAAATTAAATTCATTGTAAAGATTAATTATAATATTATAAAAATGACAGCATACCAGTCACAGGTCCTAATTCTCTCCCACATTGATTTTACACTGGTGTAACTCCCTTAATTTCAATGAAGCTGCACTGGGGAAAATGAGAAATCTGTGACAGGAGAATCGGGCTTACCCTAACTTTATACACATTGGGCCAGATCTTGGGACATGCTATAGTGGTGTAAGGCAGTTATAAAAACATTAGATTTGCTCCCCCTCCCCAGAGGTTTTCTACAGATGAATCCTCATCATTTGGAGTAAAGCCATTGTAAAAGTTCCTACAGCAATTCCCTTCCCAGCCGCTGCACTAGGAAGGCATGGCTGGGAAAAAAAGGGGCATAGCCAGAGAATCTCCATATCCTGATAATCTCCAGTTACCAGAAGGGCACCTTGAGGAACTGGTGGGCATTGTAGAATTCCAGCTCATTATGGCACTCAAAGAACTGAAGCACACCAACAACTATCATGGGGGGAAAGAAAGGCAAAAACATAGATAAAGTTTACATGCAGTACCAAAGAACACGACTTGCTAGGAAATTCTGACCTTATAAATTACTCGAACTTCTCACAGTTCTCTTTTAAAGTGATCTATTCCCTCCTTTCCCATATTTTAATTCATAACCACCTATCTTATGTGGTCATCTATCCCTTCTGGTGTTTTGATGTTATCTCTCCTGATTAGAGCTGGCAGACATGTGGGATTTTCGGTTCACAGGAAATTTCACTTTTTTGAAATTTAGTTTTGTTCTGAATCAGAATTAATCAAAACAAATTTAAAAATTTCCTGTGACCTGGAAATCCTGAAAAATATCTTTTCGGAAACAATGACACATGGTCTTTCCAATAGGAAGTCTGTTCCCTGCACCTAGGGTGACCAGATAGCAAGGGTAATAGGCACCTATACAAGAAAAAGCCACAAATATCGGGACTGTCCCTATAAAATCAGGACATCTGGTCACCCTACCTGCACCTGCTGAGTAAAACTGATATTATTGTCAGTTTCATGGCTGCTTGCCCAAGAGTTGGAAGCCCTGGACTTCTTGCCCAGGGCAGTCCGCAAAGCAGGGATGCCTGGGAACTACAGATCCTGGGAGCTTATTCCAGGACTTCCAGGGTCCTAGATTCATGGCAGGAAGCATGTAAGTCCTTAGATCCCCAGATTAACTTGGGCTCTCGCACTTCCTGACTCCCTTTTGCAGGGTTGGGAGCTGAGTCCATCTTAAAGTCGGAGCTCCCATGCCTCCCAAGTTCCATGGCATGGAGTCTGGAAGCTCTGGCGTGGCTGCCTGCTACAGAGTTGCAGACCCTGGAAGACTGGGATTTCTGGCCTTTAGGCTGCCTCAGAGCCACAGATCCTGGAAGATCTAGCAGCTTGATGAGCTGGCAGGGTTTCATGAAGGTTCCATCATAACCCAGCCTTTAATTCACCAAAAATTCATCAAACCCAAGATGCTATTGCAAAACATTTTGAGTTCAACAAACTGGCATTTTCCAATGATACTCTGTTTCATCGAAAAATTTATGACCAACTCTACTCCTGACCTTATTTGTCCACTTAAGTCTTTACCTTCAAATCTCTGCATCATAGCCACTCGCCTTTTGGCCAAAGATGATTGCAGTGAACCTCTCTGAAACATGTGAAAACCAATACTAAACTGGTCAGAAGTATGAGTTTTGAATGGTGTGTGAAATCCGTTCCCCTCTCCAAGGATCCCTCTGGATGACTAAAGAATAATGGTAACTCTGGAAGGGTTGGGCCAAAATCCAGCTGGACCAAAAAGGTGATGATTGCATTGTTGGAACTCAAGGATATAGACTGCTGCTTGGAAAATTCAAACTGTATTTAACAACATTTAACTTTAAATACATCTGACAGAAATAAGAAAGAAATTATGTTGCATTACAGACAAGACTGACAATTATTCTAAGAAGCATTGGCATTTAATGCAACCATTTGCAGTATTATTGCCTTCTCATTTAGTTTCCCAAAAGTCATAAATTTATAATTATTTATTATTGTCAGACACATCCCTCATTCCAAAAAGACTAGCTAAACGTTATGCACACCTTAGTGAGGCTGAAACTAATACAAGTTTCTGCTCCCCTACTGATAGATTCAACTAAACATTGGCTAGCAGTTTGAAAGTTCTAAATGACCATCTTGCCATTATCTTCTTCATTCTACTCAGTTAGTGTGGCCCAAAAGCTCTCAGGTGCCTTCAAGGTGTTGTTTTTTGTTTGTTTTTTATTAATGCTCAGAGAAGGATTAGTGATGGCATATCCCTTAACCATAAGTCATTTGAATATTCTTCACTGGGAGCTCTCAACAACCACACTTGGCACACATCTGGTCTTTGGACAGCCTAGGCACATGACCATCTTATGATAACATGATACTTGCTCACAAGTGGGTCAGACCCTTGCTTGAGGGCATTAGGATCCAGGCAATATAGGTTTATATGAACAGCACAAGGGCCATATGTTTTATGGGAAATCCTTTCTCTGTATCAACAGAGAAGTATTGGAAACACATACCTCTATACATTTGTCTATTTATACAAACCTTTATGTAGTTAGAATTGTGAGGCCATATTGCTTCACATGTATAAAACTGTTTTCAGAAATACCAGATTTTATTAAAACATGTTTATTTTGATAGCTGTTTTCCATCTGTGCTCCCTCAGTATTTAGCGGAGAAAGTCATTCATAGCTATCAGTTTAGCATTGTTACAATATCTCAGTACTGTAGGCAACATATGGAGACACTGAACCTTCCTCTAAAGCTTGCTAATAAAGTCTATCTTCTCCTGGAAATCTAAATGCCCACTGACAAGGGTCACAAGATTTAACTCCAATAAGGGAATTTGACTTATCGGGAACAAAAAACAAAAAAAAAATTCCTGCTCTTCCACAACAGGACGGTATAAGAACACTGCATATCAACCTGCTGGTTACTATCACACTCCTGTTTCAGGAAAGAAATTTCATATATTTCAGGTAAATAGTCACAAACCCCACAACCTTTAGCAACTGAAGTGTGACCAAAGGTATTGCAAGGTTCAGTAATTGAAGTTTTACACAGACAGAGAGACAGACAGACATCACTCTTGTTCTACTTATTGCAGCAATAAACCTAGCTTTTAGGTGTTAGATGTAACCTACAAGAAGGTGAGAAGAAGAAAAGACAAGAAAGAGCATGCTGCAACCTGAGTTTTCTTGTAACACAAAAGAAACTATTATTATTAATAACTCTTTGAATTATTGTAGCACTAAGGAACCCTAGTCTTGACCAGCACTCTATTGTGCTAGGTGCTGTACAAACACTGAACAACAAGACAGTCTCTGCCCCAAAGGGCTTACAAAACTTGGATTATTTTCCTCCTAAAAAAGGAAGGCTTTAAACATGACTTGCTCTGTCTACACTAGTTGCAAAGTCCTGTTTAAAACTGTTGGTTAAAAAATATTAGCTTTTAAAACATGACCAGTTTTCAGTCTAGAGAAGCTCTCCAATCCTTTAAAAGATTCAAGGATTCACTTGAACTGCTGCCTGAACAGCCACCAGGGCTAGAAGATAGTTGGCAGTGTCTTCAACTATATCCTGTATGTCAGAGAGCTTTAGAGGAACAGGTCTACTTTTTAACTTACATAGAATAGTACCATAAATACCAGCAATAGTGATCTGGGTTGGAGTCTCCCCATTTTGAGAATTTCAGAAATGACTCCCTTCCCCCCAATAGAGTCTTTTCTCATGACAGCCTTGAAGAATATTATGCTTATTCTGACCAACATTTTTAAACCTGGGTTCCTAAAATTTAGAAACTTAAATGTGGATTTAGGAGCCTAATGCAGTCATGGAGTTTAAGGCCACAAGGGACCATCAGATCATCTAGTCTGACCTTCTGCATATTGCAGGCCACCCACACCACCTAGCACCCACACATTAGCCCAACAACTAAAATTAAACCGAAGTCTGACAGCCCACAGAAGACTAGACTATTATGTGCCACAAACAGAGAATAGAAAGGACTGAGGTACAACAATGTCCAAGGCCCCTACAAATGGCAGGGAAATAATTAAGTGAGATATACCCCAATAATTCTGGCAAAGGACCAACACCTGTCATAATAAAAGTGGCCCGATCTTCAGGCATGTTATGTACCTACAGCTTCAACTGACTTCCAATATGATAGGTATCAAAAATGGCTCTGTGACAAATTCAGGTGAGATCACACATAGAATACCACATTCATTTCTTGTCTCTTTAGGATCAGCAAGATCTGACGAACATGAGGGA